CCGCTGAGTCTGCATTCATGTGATGTAGCTGATTGCTGCGCTGTTTTTGCAGAGAAGCGCAAGAGTCTCGCCGCTTATGTTTATGAATGCAGAAGAGACCTGCGTACACCCAAGACGCATGAACGATGCTGCAACATACCATCCCTCAAGTCCCCTCTTCATAAGGGGCCTTATCACTGCAGGAGATGCCCCGCTGGAAGACAACCGGCTGATACTCCTCGTTTGTGCCTAGACATCCTTCCTGGGACTTCAGCATTGCGATTCAGCGTGATTGTTGCGTCCTGACAACACCACATGCTGCCAGAACACCGTTCCAGGGACTTGCATCGTGCGAAGCTTTGACATTTCTACAACCTTTGAAAAGGAATGCTCGCGGCGCTAAGGCTTGAACCACACATCAGCAACCCTCCTCCTCCTCCTCCTCCTCCGCCTCCTCCTCCTCCTCCTCCTCCTCCTCCTCCTCCTCCTCTTCCTCCCTCTCCTCCTCCTCCTGCTGCTGCAGACCTGTAGCACGAATCTGCGCGGCGCCACGGCGAGAGCCGCACCTCGGAAGCCGGCCGCCCTTCATGTGCGAAGCAGCGGAAAAGCGCTGCGAATGTGTCGGGCGCCAGGGCCATGGCAAGAGGCACATGTTGAACACCGCCTGCCCTCCATCCTGGAAGCGTGGCGCGATCAGGAGGGGAAAAACCACACACACACAATTCATCGTCGACTGCCAGGAGAATATGAGAATCTATGGGAAGTGGGGGGGAAGACCATCACCCAGAAAATATAAGAAAATATGGTGCATCAGTTTAGTTGGGTGTATTTATTTGTGTGTTCTGGAACCCCTTCAGAAGCGTGGCGCTGGGCGAGTGTGACACTTCGATGACAACGGCCTGCCTTACATGTTCGCAGCCGTTGGGAGTTCCAAGCTCCATGATCATACACTGTGAAGGAGCGTTGGGCGTAACGCCCGGCCCGCCCTGCCGACACGTCTGCGGGCGCGACATACATAAGGGATTGTGGAGGCCTTGCGGCCCGCGCCGCCGACCCTGGAAGAAGACCCCGATGATGAAGGTGACATCCAGAGGTGTTCGGAAAGGTTGGGACCAGGCACCCCGAAGAGTTCCCCTGAAGCCCCTTGAGGATCCCAAGAAGCGTATGTCGAAGAGCACAGCTTGGCCAAGCTATCTGCCTATGTGCTCTCGCAGCCGCTGGGGGAGGAAGAGGGGGGGGGGACATCAGGAAAGGGAGGAACAGAACGCGTCGCTGTCGGAGGAGGAGGAGGAGGAGGAGGAGGAGGAGGAGGGGGAGGGGGAGGGGGAGGAGCAGGAGGAAGAGGATAACTAACGGCACAAGAAGGAGCAGGAGAGGGAGACTTTTGTGAAGTCTTTTCGGGACTCTGGGAGCCTTCTCAGGCTTCTGGTGAGGAAGCCTCACGCCCAGCCCGCCCTACCGACACGTCTGGGGTCGCGACACAAATGCAGATTGAGTCGCTTGTCTCATTCCGCCGGCCCCTACGGTGCCATTGTTGGCGTTTGCCTGCGCGTTTGTGGGCCATGTGGCGCTGCTGGTCGGCGCTGCTGCAGTTGTGGGTGAGAGTCCTCGAGGAGGTTTCTTGGTGTCTCTTCGGAGGGTTCTCGGGGAGCTCCAGTGTAGCAGCTCTAGGGTTTAGGGGCTCTTGGGGGCCTCCTGGGGGCTCCTTGGATGCCTCTTGGGGCTCTCTTGACGCCTCTTGGGGGCCTCTATTGACCCTCTTGGGGGGCTTTTGGGGGCTGCTTGGGACAGCCTGGACGCCTCTTGGGCCGAGGGCTGGCTCGAAATGCCCGTTCGGATCCTCCTTCTGGGCCCCCTCTTGAGGCCGTCTTGGGGCCCTCTCTGTCCGTCTTGGAGGCCCCTGGGGTCGTCTTCGGGCCCTCTTGGGCCGTGGTAGGGTTCTCTTGGAGGCCTCTTAGGTCGTCTTGGAGCGATCTTTTAGGCTTCTTGGGCCGTCTTAGAGCGTTCGCGGCCGAAAAAGTGAGAACGCTGAAGACCTTCAGAAACCAATGGTTGAATTTTGCCTCTAGGAGGCTTACTGGGAGTGTCATTGGAGGTCTCTTCGGACGTCGTGGAGGCGATTCGAGCCGTCTGGAGGCTATCTTGGGCATCTCGGAACGACTTCGGTGATTTCGGGCCCTCTGAGACCGCCTTGGGGGCCTCTTGCGACGCTCTTGAAGGCCGTGAAGGCCTTGAAGGCAGCACCCAGGAGTTTCGGCATCCGTGACGGGGACGGCCCGGGATTTGCATGGGGTACTTTTTGCCCGGGGACCCCCAGGGGCAGGGGGCAGCCACGTGTGCGTGCGAACGTAGAATTATTCTAAAGTTGTTGCCAGAGATTTTTGCACGACTTTGGTCTGTTGGGCTGGCGAGTCAGGAGGAGGAAGAGGAGGAGGAGGAGGAGGAGGAGGCTGAGGAGGTGGAGGAAGTGGAGGAGGAGGCCCGTGCCCAGTCTCGAGTCCCTGCCCGTCGTCGTCACGGT